TATTAATTTAAATTCTTTATTTTAAGTATGAAAAAGTGCTAGCAATGAGCCAATTGCACGGTAATATACTAAGCAAGCGAAAATGTAGTAACATTAAAATATCTGAATGACAATATAAAAGAATTCACATTGCAGTTCTTGTTCGATCTCAGGACGATAATGAAGATTTTGCGCAAGAATTGAAAAAATTAACTGTAAGCGATAGCGAAATCTGTTTACCAACTACTAATAATCTGCCAAGTAAAGTAACCGAAGCAACCGAAGCAACCAAAGTGAACGAAGCAACCGAAGCAACTGAAATGATCGAAGAAGACATAGTCGATAAGGCTGAAACTTCTGATGAAAAAGAAAATTGGTTAAATGTAATTAAGAACTGGGTTGGAATATTAGACAGTGAAAATCGGTTAGAGAATGGTGAAATTGTAAATGATAAACTACCTGAATTTGAATTTGGTGAGCACACTACTTACCTAGCAGATGATTCATTAGCAAAATGGAATTTGCTAGAATTATTCAATAATTCATTAGATTTGTCTATTTCTTTTGTCCTTCAATAAATTTAATTAAATATAATGAAGTTTATATTGGCATTAAAAATCGTAGGAGTTTTGAAAATTTTAGCAGTTAAATAAAATAAATTGCTTTAAAGGCTGTGACAGATATTATGTAATATCTATTTACTATAAGGGTACACCCTCCCCCACGTAAGATGATGACTCTGATTGGTAGACAAAATAAATATAATGCAGCTCTGTAAAGATATATAACCTTATCAAATTTTATAATATTTTATGATTCAGTGATCAAAACTCGATGATTTGGTACCATTTGATCTGTCTCAATAAGATGGATCGAATAGTACCAAAATCATCGAGTTTCGATCACTGGATCACAAAATAATTGCATTTAAATAATTTTTATAAATATCTAAATAACTTGTCAACCAGTAGTCCAAATTTAACGATTTTGGTATCATTCGATTTCTCTCGATAAGACAATTCGCAGTGCAGTTCTTTACAGAACTAAATTTTTTTGTAAATATATAAAACTGTGTTGCAAAACATTTTTTGTGAATATCTCACAAACCAGTGATTTAATTTTAATGATTTTGATACCATTCGAATTGTCTCATCAAGAGGAATCGAATGGTATCAAAATTGTTAAATTTGGACTACTAGTTGACAAGTTATTTAGATATTTTATAAAAATTATTTAAATGCAATTATCTTGGGATCTAGTAGTCAAAACTCGATGATTTTGGTACTATTTGATCTGTCTCATTGAGATGAATCAAATAGTACCAAAATTGTTAAGTTTTAATTACTGAATCATAAGATATTATAAAATTTGCTAAGATTACATTATATATATAATTATATATATTATATATATATAATGTAAGACTTTGGCTTACCCCCACCCCCAAGATATTACGCAATATCTGTTATAGCCCTAACTTGACTTCAATTGATATGAAATAATTTATGTGCAGTACCTTAAATAATTGAAAAACAATTAGCGTACAAAATTGAAAACCAATTAGCGTACAAAATTGAAAAACAATTAGTATACAAATTTATATTACGTACTATATAAATTATTACTTATTAGTTGTATTTACGTATTTTAGTATGTGCAAAAAATCATTGGCACTGTGTAGATTTTTTTATTATACATGATTTCTAAATATGAATTCAGACTTGTTATACATACATACGTACATATGTATGACCTGCAGTCTGATAAAAAAGTTAATTCACAATTTTTCATAGGCATATTTGTATTAAATAACTAATCACATTTTTAATAGATAATTCAAATAACCATAACAGGTCATTGGGTTTTTGAAATGATCCAATGACTGGTCACTAATCATTTAAGTTATTTGGGTCATTTCAAGTCATTTACCATCACTAGTCTGGAGGGTCAAGAGTTTCTATATAGAAGTATATAATATTATTTATGAATGCCCTATATTAAAAAAGTAGATATATAAGTATCTCAATATACTATAACTTAAAGTTTAATTACTAAGCTTGATTTATATAACTATTTGCTTAAAATATAATCTGGGTTGAAAAAGTTTTTAACAGGATGAGAGCTTTAAGTGTTTTGCAGATCAAGTGTAGTATAATTTAAATTTTGGCCTATACTATATTGATTTTTTTTTTTTTTATATATTAAGGTAAGGTCACGCCTTTGGATTTTATTAATATATAGCTTCGACAATTACAATTACATATACATATACATTAACTTTATAAACTACAGAGACTTAGACTAATTTATTTACGATCTAAACCTATTAAAGTGGTCTATACCCCACATATATATCACTTAGCTTTGTGCTTCTCAACTAACCATTTTTAGTAACTGCATATTCCCCCATATC